TCTAGAGATCAACCTTCAGTTAGAGTTACCAAAGACACGATACTGGCTAGCACACTTAACAGTACTTTTCTTTTTTATCAGGTTACGACTTAAATCTTCAACGGACAACAAAGTCGTCTGTTGGATGCATCGCCAAAATGCGGGCATCAGTCAGCAGTAAAGCCACGCTTGCATGTTCAGAAAAACGAATCCACAGCACAGAATGGTTAAAAGCAGCTGCTCTCCGGAGGCTGCCCAGTATAACCGCTGCACTTTTGTGATGTGCTCCTAAACATGATACGAAAAGCACAACTGTAAGCTGAACTGAAACTGTTGAGTGGATGTTGCGTCTTTGATTGGAAGTAGGGGGGATATATCCTATAAGAATCGCCTGCAAGGATCGCTGTTACCAGCTATATCGAAGAAGCGCACATCTCAACGCATGACTATGAAGCAGACCCGGAGGAGGAAGCGAACTAAGATACCGACATAACCAGCAAGCGCAAAATGATGCAAGGACAAACATGGGAATAGTTAGCAGCACTTCTGTCAAGAGATGAGCTGTACAACACCGCTTTAACACTACAACACTACTCGTCGAGTGGGTGCCAGTAGGTGCAGTGCCGACAGACCGACATCTGTCTAAACATAAGTGGCACCAGACGCAAAGCGAAGAAACAAGTTTAACGAACAGTAGACCGATGGCTCATCACAGAGACGAAACACCTAAACTACAAGAATAAAACACAGAACGCCAGAATCGATTCCGAGTACTCGCCTCCCCCCTCCGACTTGAACAGCATATTCGAGCATCACGTCGGCCAGGACGGAGACATTCGGTCCACTCAGCGCAACGAGCAATCGCCAGTTTTATCTTTCGAAGAAGAACTAAATACCCGTTTGACTGTAGCCAAACAAATGACCCGTGAACGAACTAATAACAACTAACTACCTGCTTTTACGTTAAACGAACGTCCCCGGCAATTCACAATGCTTGCTACAGTATTTAAGCATCAAAAAGCAGGCTACATATGAAAGCATGATCGAAAGGGACACGAACCATCAGCGAAATCTGAGTATGTTTCGAAATGTAATTTCATTCTAAGAGTCCTTTTTTTCAACTTCAACTGAGTTATCGAATGAACACCTCATTGCGTAGACAGATTAACAAGTGTGTGCTATTATTTTAAGGTAGCACAAGCAAAGCTTTCGTGACGTAAGATTCTCTGTCGAACGGAAAAAAGTATAAAAATTGCAAAAAAAATTCAACAGTAGCGAAACATTTATCAGGAAGGTTAAAACAGTATAAAACAGTTACAGCGCATAGCGTCATATAGATACTGTCGTTTTAGCTCGCATATTGCGCGGTTTCTTTAAAATAAGTCTGTTGCTAGGAGTGTGGCATCGATATTGGACAAACGAGTCGCTGTGAGTTGTGTGGCGTTCGGTTTATCTAGATTCTCGACATCATTGAAACTATCATTATCGCTTTTAACTATTTCACACTGTCGTTCTGCCGCTTTCATAAATTTCGAATATGATTTGAATATGTGACTTTGGCAGTTAGCCAGTCAGCCAGTGAAATTTATTTGGATGAAATTTACGTGAAATAAACCTTGGATATAACAATGCGCAAATACTAAACAGCCGAACCGGAAGTTAAAGGAGATCCATATCAGTTTGACTAGAGCTTTGTCCAAAACGACAGATCTTTCATGGGATCGACCAGACATTGGCAGCGAACGAAATGACTGACCATCAGGCCGGCACTGTATGGAGCGCAAACGGATCTTGTGCTTGTCCGTTTCGAAGAATAATGTTGGAGATTTAATTACAGCCAGAGTATTGGGTCGATTGGAATAGAATTAGTCAGAACAGCTGTAGTTTTCATCGAGCATTTGATTGGGATGCACGGAAACTCGCCAGCGGCGCAGTTGCACGGTCAATTGTTTTCTCCAGTAACCGGAGTAACAGAACTGTGTAGGATGAATTAAGCGCGGTAGAATGCAAGATTTGATGTAGTCTTTCAGCACTTTTGAATATAATGTCTCCTCAGTCTGTAAAATAACCGAAATTGATTTCCAAATTTCAGCAATCATTGCATTCATTTGTTGTTCCCAATCAAGGCTCTGATTCACAATCAATCACAAACGTTTTATCGCTGAACTTTTTAAAATTGTTGCTGAGCAGTCCATTTGGTGAAGCAAGATTCATTCAATCTCCATTTACACTGCTTGCAAGACGAAAATAACTATCAGCAGATTTCTTCGGATTATATACTAAGCGATTGTCAGTCATTCAGCCCCCACCCACCTCTTGAGTACAGAAGATAAAACGCGATAGTTCAAGTCTTAACCATACTGAAACAAGAAGAACAGTATTGTTAGCGTACTTAAACCACATGGATAACATTGAATGGTTAATACCTAGACGTGCATAAGATTAGCAATGCAGGTGAAAAATAGAGTTCCTGTGTAGCCTCTCGCATCGTCATGTGAAATAAAATTCCTTCTTGCCGATCTGAACTGACTGGCAGCATCTCGAGTAATGCGTAACTAGCAGGTTGACAATGAAACTCCACAATGATGTTGGCCAATAGTTCGAGAAGTTGAAATTTTGTAGCGTTTTCAGGCTCACTTGCAATCTTAAAACAGTTGACTAATGCCTGTCCTTCGCCGAGTTTGCTGACAATGATTGTGGCACCTATAATTAGTGTTTCTGGAGTATTGCATCCCTGTGCATATTCCCAATTGATAAGGATCGCTGTGTTCCAACACAACTTAATTGACGGCGCGAAGATCCTTTCCATAAAATTTAATGGCGTTGGAGTTACCAGAATCAGTATACGGTCAGCTAATGTAGACAGTGTAGGAGATTTCGGGGCAGGAGTTGTTCGCAAGTTTGCCATGAATCCGTCACTGCATCTTCTAAAAGGCAAAGGCTGTACAGCCTGGCAAAGACTTCAGAAAGAGAGTGAGCACAAGCTGAATGCGGTTCATATTAATTGTGCGAATCAGTGATTGCTTCCTCATTTTCGAACAGTACGAAATAATAGTTCGGAGACCCGAAGTTTGCACCCAGAGGTCTGTGTATTGGTTTCCTACTGCATTGTCGTTTAATTTCGGTCCATTTATTCATCGTATTTCTAATGCCTAAGATGACAATGTAGTGCTCATAGATAAGCTATTTCGGATATCAGTTAGGAGTTTAAAAGTTGTTTTGTCTCCAGACATGTACATTCTATTGCTTAACACTGTTCGATCAACAGTCAATGTTAGTGATGTAAATATTTTGCCGACGGGTAACAGACATCAAATGCAAAGATAATTTACGCCGTTACTGTTTCCACATATTTGTTTATGTCAAAGCCGTGAAAAACGTCCCACCTATTGTTTATATCACAGACTGGAACTGTCTAATCTTTGCAGGATCTCATCTCATTAACAAAACTCCCACTGCACCGAATAAACTTGCGTTGCTCTTGTTTTTTGCATTTATGCAGTATGAAATGAAGGATATAATAGTCGAATGTAACCAGAGGCGCAAAACCCTAAAGGGCTGAAACTGTCCGGATTGTTTGCCACTGCGCAACAAAGAAACACGTAAATGTTTTTGGGAAACGAAACAACGTCCGATAGACCAAAAAACTGTTCTAAGTCATGTAGGCTAACGTCGCCCACCAACACGAGCAGTTGACTGTTCATACCAAAACCGACATTATCGCAAAGTTTCTCCACAAAGGAATCAATAGTTGGACATTTGTAATCAGGGCCGTATACTGGTAATAAATAGTGAGAATATGCCAGTAGGTTTTTCTGTTGTATTCCATGACGAGACATTATAGATTGACTAAGCAGAACTGAAATTTCCTTTATCAGTTTGTGCATTTGGTCAAGTTAATCCATCTCATTATACCGCAACGATGAAAATTAATTTTTCCAATACAATCAAGCATGTAACAAGCGAGGTCTTCCTAGCTGGGGATATCTTTATCGATCATGCAATGTAGCCAGGTTTGTAAAAAAATGGTGCAAACGCTGCTGAATAGTGACATACTGAGAAGCGCCTAAAGGTAATCGAAATTCGGGTGGTCAGCAATTAGATGGTCAAAGCAAATTGAAGTCACAAGGTGAATTGCCCCTCGAATCAAACAACAGCGCCGTACAATTCATCCAATTTGATATGACTAGCCAACAATATCGCTCTGTCGCTAATATTGGCAAGTCATCGACTTAATATTCGTTTCTTCGCTAATTGCGCTAGGGTAATTTGAAGCCAGTTTCTAATTCAACGGAATTTGTGGATAAGACAATGGTCATTGAAACGGATTCTAATTCGCACACCGGAAATCGAAGTTGACCGCATAGGCGAGTGGTTGAGATCAATTTCAGATGATGCATACAAACTGTTTATTCCCGAAAAACAGACTTGCAAAGGCAAATTTGATATTCATTATACTACGCGTTTTGTTGTCACTGCTGTTCTTGGTTAAAATCAGTCTGATTGATCAATTCTTTAGCGTATAAGCAGATCGTTTTTATATTAAAATGTTTTCGAACGGTTCAGAATTGTGTTTGAGTCACCAACTGAATTACCATGTAATGAATTCAAAGTAAGGTGCTTTGGAATGACGCTAAATTTCACCAGAGAATTGAGTGATTTGTAAGGTGAAAATAGTTCTTCTCGATGAGACTGTGAACAGATCAAACTACAGTTTAAAATTTAAAGATGACGGCCGAATACTACAGGAAATAAGCATTTCTAACGAATAACATGAAAAACATCTGGAAACCATTAATATTTAATCAGTAAAGTGCACCAAGTGCTTTCCCTGCTCAACTACAAATAAAAGTGATCTGCAGGTCAACAACTGATGGTTGAATGACGATTGAATGAAAGAACGAATGCCGCCGTTGGTTTCAAAAACTTTGGGCAGTGGACATAATTTGGTCGTCCCTACATTCCTGTTTTGAAGCGGCATTACAATGTAGTCTGTTGTAATTGACCGGACTTTCATTATCATGAAGCGGCAATTAAGGGTCGTGGTCGTCATCTGCTGTGGTGCTAACGAAATCATTGTCGACGAAGACGTGCCTCAGCCTTTGATAGCAGTTATCTCAACGGCAACGCTGTGTGTAATATCCATTAAGGTGGCTGACAATGACAGCGTCGCTCTGAGCGTTCGTTTACCGGTTGTCAACGGTATTCATCGATTCGAGTTCCGGTTGCCATGTTTCCTATCATCGATGCATACCACCTTTTCAAAAAAAAACACGACATGAAGTTCGATGCGATGCCAGCCTAATGCTGCAAGTTTGACTTGCGTAGTCGTAGTCAACGATGCTCTTTCTGGAGCGCACTCCAGCCACCACATCGCCTCTTGAAGGATCAACGCTTTGCATCGTGCTGACGAAGAATAGCATAGATAAGGTTGCCGTGTGTTATTTCGTCGTAGTCTCCGTCGTTTCCTTGATTCAGTTCTTGCGTTGTTGCAACGAGTGTAAAAGTGCATGTATCAGCGTCTGCTATTGCGTTTCGTACCTGTTCTGCTGAAAGTGAGATGAGGCTCAAATAAATGTAGGCTTGGTGGGAATTTTGTCTGTTACTGACTTGGCGTTCCGCAGAACATTGACCTAACGATACCCAATGTAACTTCACAAGAGTCAAATAGAGTATTTCGTTCGTGCGTTTGTTGCCATATTGAAAACACATTAAAACACGGTACTAATCAGCCGATTGACTATAGTATCTGCGTTGTGTAAAGCTAAACCGTGTTATATGTCATGTAATAGTGGTACAGTAGCATTGAACTCCAAGTGCCGAGATCGAATTCGCTGATTAGAATACCTTTGTCATTTCCGCAAATTTCCTTATTCAAGGAAAAACTCTACGCTGCTACTGTGGAACCAGTCGCAAAACGGGTGATAAGTTTTGTGACTTCCGAAAAATAAGGACATCATGTTTTAAGTCTGATCTGCCAGACTGACCGAGGTGTACGAGCATGTTATCCTGTTCAAAAGCCCTATGTGGCTGCATTTCACTCTGACCCATCTAACAGCTGATTGCCCAATATAATAATCGACAAATGTTATAACACGGATTTCGATTTTCAAGTCTAATTGAGTCGAATACCTGCGAATATTTTTGACAGTAGGGTGCCTTTGAGATGCCATACCACAGCTGTCGCAGCTTACGGTTATAGACATAATTGCTTCGACCATATAGTGCAGTGGAGCTGATTGTCAGCACCGTGAATCTGTCAAATAATACAAAAAATACAAGAGTACCACGCAGGCATATCTGTGACTTGCGATCAGTCGCATTCACCCGGATTTAACTAAGCAACAGCTTTGCTTGTAAGCTAATAGCTAGTTCATCAGCACCAGGTTAGAGTTAAAGGCAAAACGGTTGTGGAATCGCAATGGTCTGCCTGCGCGTATTTAAGTTCTGCAGGTTTGACAAATGCGCGTCATCATCGTTGTCTACGATAATATGATCCGTAAGTACAATGTCAACATGCACCCGAATATTTAACAGAACAGCAAAGCACGTGTTCGTTCGTTATCGGAAACCTTCGTGTAGAAAATCTTTTGCTGTTTATTTTAAAAATGTTTTTTGTGTTTTGTAGTGTTTTTTTTTTGTATTCGCTATGCAGGTCGTGACCCTTGTATTTGCGATGACTAAGGAAACAGCTGCAAATTGCTAGAAAGTGAAAATGGCGCGACATGTTACGTTCACTAATTTTTTCGAATTAACCGATTACACAGAAATATGGGTAAAAGACATGAACCGAGATTTGCAGCTATTGTTTATGTTTGTTGATTCCGCGTTAATTATTTAGCCGCGCCTATTTAGCCAGTTGCGTCAGTGAAGCAACTTGATTTATTCCGCCTTCCTTACGTCCTCCACTGGTTGGAG